AAAGAGGGGGGAGGCCGGGTCTAGCGAGGAAAGGGACAAAAACTTAGTGTCACAGAAAAATAGGTCTCTCTCTCTCTCCCCCCCCCCCCCCCCCAAATGTACAGGTACACTCTGCCCAAGGAGTGGCGGTGACAAAGGTATCCAGAAGGAGATGGGAAAATGGCTGAAGGCAACCGAAGCCTCTTCTCGGATCCAGATGTCCAGCCCCGCCCAGGAGCAAGAGAAACCCCCCCAGTACATTTTAAGAGGCAAAAGAGGAGTGGCTGGAAAGCAAGTGAGAGAGAGGGAGGGAAGAAATCTTCCCTGCAGCTTCCCTCCTACAAAGTCGGAAGGGACAGGAGGACTTCTCTTTCTTGCTTTTGCTGGAGGAAGAAGGCTATCACAGAAAGGAAAACAGCTTTGCCATTTATCAAGCAAAAGACACGCAGTGCAGAGGCCTCGTTTCAAATACCTGAGCTTTGGTGATCTTGGAAAGGTAAGTGAGCAATCAGTAATGGGAGCAATAGGTGGGTGCAAGGGGCGGGCTCAGAGATGGCATCCAAAGGGCAGGAAGAGAAGCATGGGGTATCTCAGTGAGTGGGGGGAGGCTGGAGCACTTCTAGGATCTCCCCCACTCCTGAAGCACCCCCATATTTCACTTCAGCCTATTCCCTTCCCCCCTCCTCTCTCTCATTGAAAAGCTGAGGGAGGAGAAGGGAGGACGAAGCAAGGTGGGGTGATGCGGAGCTGCCCCACACCTGCTGACCTGAGCGCCCTGCCATACAGGCACTGAAGCGCCACAACTGCCACTGTAGAGAGAGGGTGGGGCCTCTCCAAACTGCTTACTTCAAATAGTAAGGCCGGTGGGATCTGATGAGCCACTGCCAGCAGCTTGACTGAAGATCACTCTCTCTCCCATACACTCATTGGAATGTTTTCTCTCTCTGTCTTGCCCCATTTGCATGCAAACGCCCTCCATGGGTTAACAAGGTCTCATTGAGTGGAAAGTAGTTGGGGGTGGGAGGAGCAGGAGACCGTTAAACACTTTTCATGCCGAGAATGAAGGTTTCTGGGTCCCTGACTCTGCAAAAGAGGATGGGTGCCTGAATCTGTGATATTATAGTACCCAGGAATGTCTGCACAAAAAGCATTTCCAAGCAAAATCTCTCCCTCTCTCAGAGCCAAAGAAACAGAGAAATGAAGAGAAGAGACATGTTTGCAAGTTGAGTCCTTGTGGCAGGAAGGGAGGGAAAAGCATGAGGTATCTTAGTGGGTCAGGGGGGCCTTGAGGGCCTATTCTGTCACTCCCCCTCCCCACACCCTGAGATACCTCATGTGTACATTGGTGTTCTTGAATTGTGAGTTCTTAGGAAATTATCCCTTGTGTATTGCAAGCAGCTATTTCCAGTGGGGCAAACTGGACAAAACAAGTGGGGGAAAATATTTTCCTTTGCTATATTTCCAGTCTGAATTAGGCCATGGCAGGGTCCCTACAGGAGAGCCCCTTTAAGGATTATATTAGTAGAAAAGCAGCTAACTTACCTCTGTTCTTAAAGGCTAAAGCTGTTGCACATAAAAAAAAACACAGGAGCTCTGATCTACTATCACAGCCATCATTTTGACAGTTTTACTGTACTACCCTATAGTGTGTGAAAGCCCCCACGAAATGCAAGCATAGGATTAAACTGACCCTGGTTTGTTGTCAGTCTTAAAAGTGGCCACAGATTACTAGCAAAAGTGGCATTGGATCACAAGGCGAGGAATGTTTCCCCTTTTGCATTTCAGTATCCAAGAAAGGACAGGAAAGACAAAGAAAAACAAGAGAAGAGGGTAAGAGAGCAAGGAAGGAAAAAGAAGGAAAGGGGGGAAGGAAGAAGAAAAAAAGGAGAAGGAAGGAAGGAAGGAAGATTATAATGAGAGTGAGTGAGGGCCTGAGGTAAATCCTGCCTTAGCACTTGGCCACCAGCAGTCCTGTTGCCTTTTGCCATCTCTTTGTCCCATCCTCCTGACCTCCCATCCTATCACTGAGGATGCTTTGGTTACAAAGCCGGATCTCCTTGTAAGGAGATGGAGTGGGCCTCCCTCTGACCTACACACTTTGTTGTCCTGCTACACCGTGAGCAATCTGGCCAAGGAGAGCGAGCATAGCAGCAGCGGGAGCTGGCCACACACACATACACACACGGAAGTCAACCATAATCCTGATATGGCTGCCCTATACCATTTCTGACAGACTTTGAAGAGAAAGGAGGAGAAAGAAACTCTTTGCTGGAAAGTTTGGACACAGGTAGAAGTAGTGGTGGTCTTTCCATCCAAATCCCTGTAAATGTACATAAAGAATAAAAGCCCAGGTGGTCTTTGTCTACCCCTCTCTCCCATCTGTCTCTCTCCTGAAAGCAATTGATGCACTTAAAGCCATAGGTCACTTCAATTAAAGCAGGTCTTCTTTAGGAACCTATGCTTGATGGTTGCAACCCATGAAAATAACTTTTTAGAGATGGGATCCACCCTGGCTCTTTGCAAACAAAACAGGCTAAAGATAGCTGAAATGTTTCTTATTGCAAGGGAGATTCTTGGGCAGCCTGGGGTGGGTGGGACTATTCTCTTCACAGAGCTATGGAAAGGTCAGGATTCTTTTTTTGCTTTGCAAACTCTAAGCCTCCCTGAAGACTCCAGCTGGGCTTAGGTGGGGCTAGGCAACATGCAGTTTCATTTCACGTTACTTTTTCACCTTACGAGATGTATGGTCGACTAGCTGAGCAGAAGAAAACTGTGACAATAGTTGGGGTGAAGAGCAGTGGGGTGGGGCTGGCCTAGAGCTCTCCAGCAGGTATTGGGGGCTGGAGAGAAAGCAGTGTGTGTGGGGGTGTTCTTCCCTCCCTTGCGGTCTCCCAGGTGTTGCTTTGCATCCAGTTATGGAGGTTTCCCTGGTGATCGGAGCAGTGGGGAGTGAGGAATGGCTGCTTTGTGCTGAGTCTTTGCAACTTTGGAGAAGTTGGAATTATTATTTGGGGGGGTGGGGGAAACTGCACCTACTTTCTAGTAAGCAATTCAGGCTAAGGATTTCTTTGTATCTGAGTGTTTGAGTGGAGAACACTGTTGAAAGAGGCTGTGCGGCCTTGCAACGTGTCCATCCAGATGCATTGATATACTTCTTCATTAGTGCCAATGGCAAAGGCTTCTGCAATAGCAGTGGATTTTAGTTGTTTTAGTGAAAACTATATTCCTTACAGTTTCCTTTTTAAAAATCTACCTGATAATAGTTACAGAAATTGGCATAGTAAATATGCAGGTAGGCCTGTAGTTAACAACCGTTCACTTAGTGACATTTCAAAATTACTGGTGACGGTCCAGTGGTGATCTGGCTGCTTCCACCCTCAAGAGGATCCCCTCCCTTGGGGCAACCTTTGTAACCCACAGGCACCTCCCAGCCCACAGGTCTCTGCCGGAGTGTGCCCCAAAAGCAAGGGGTGCAGTGCGGCCAGTACACCAAGCTCTCAATTTCTCTATCCAGCTCCGCAGTGGTGCAGTTGGTGAGATCCCAGTGGGTTTCATGCTCCAGCACAGTGATTGCCAACCAGTGGGCCAGGGACCACTGGTGGTCCACAAGAAAATTTTGGTGGTCCACAGAGAAATGTCACCCCCAAAGCAATTAATCCAGGCTGCTCGGTAACGCAGGGCTTGCAGCACTTGCGTTGCAAACAACACGAGGGGGGGAGGGGGGAAATGGTGGAGGGGGGAAATTGCCTCGCCTGGCCTGCTTCTTTCTGCTTCTTTCTTCTGCTTTTGGCATGCAAGGAAATCAGCAAAAGTCTTTCTTTCCCCCAAACTCCGCCAGAAATGAGTCTTCGGGACCCTGCAAGGCATCCTGCTCTAAGAGGCTGTTGAAGCAAAGATTCATTTCTGGCGGAGTTTGGGGGAGAGAAAGAAAGGCTTCTTCTGCTTTCCTTGCATTAAGCCAAAAGTCTCTCTCCCCCCAAGAAGGAGCTGGAGACGGTATTCTGCGATCCCAAATAAAGAATGATCGATCAGTAGGAAAACGGGGTGGGGAATTTTCCTGCAGACTTTTTTCCTGCAGCCACTATCAGTCAAAATTCATATTAGTGGTCCACTGGATTTAAAATTATAAGTTTGGTGTTCCCTGAGGTCCAAAAGGTTGGCAACCCCTGGAGTCCAGTAAGTAGCAGGGCAGGGCTATGCCCACTTGTGAAAGAGGCTGTGGCTCAGCAGGGAAGGGCAGAGGCTGGCTTGGCACTTCTCTGCCTGGCTGTGCAAGGGCTCCAGCACCCAAGGCAGCGCAGGAGACGAGAACGGGCAGTGTTGGGGCTCCCAGGGGCAGCACCTGGTGGCTGCACTGGCCTGCCTCTCTATGAAGGCTCAAGTGTCTCTGGCAATAGTACTGTTGCTCTGGCTGTTTAGGAAATGTGGCTAAAAAGAGAAAGCGTGATGCCACCCAGGCATCAATGCAATAGATCTCGCATTATTACACATCCTTTTCCAAAGAGAACGGAAGCTGTGTAACAACGCGAGATCTAAGGAAAGTAGCTTCTTGATCTACATTCGGGTTCTGGAAATCTTTTAAGGTAATTGAGCAAGGTAATGGGTTGACAGGGTGGGGAGGAGAAGGCCCAAGCAGCTGTGGGGACCCCAAGGGGGTCAGAAGAGAAGCATGGGATATCTTAGTGGGGAGAGGCCTTTGGTGGCTGGAGGTAGTGGTCTTGTCCTTGCACTAGGCCTCCCCACTCCTGAGGTATATCCCATGTACTCTTAACAACCAGTGCATTCGATTAACAAATGCATTTGGAAGAGGAGGGATGGGCTCATCCATGTAATGTAATTCATTTAATGTTACAACTACAATGGGCAGCCTCCATTACATTCTTAACTTGATGAGAATTCTTCCCTTTTGACATAAAGTGGATGACAGAATGCTGATTTTTTTTCCTCCTCTGCCAAAAGGTTGCCCAATTTATTGATGGCAATTAAAAAAAAACTTTGCATGACAAATTATTTTCTGTTGCATGTTTTTTAAGAGGCTGTGCTCTACATATAAAAAGATATTCTTTGAAATTAGTAACGATTTGCCAGCTTTTGTAAACATCTTGGCCCTCCTTCTTGTGACAGTCCCATTTCCAATTCTAGATTATACAACTCCAGGAAAGCTGAATTTATATATATGTCGAGAATCACCTGTTGGGCCCTCTTCCCAATGGATCTGCATCTGAACGGGAAAGAGAACCAGGTATTAATAACAATATCAAGATCTGGAAGCCACTCACCCAAACGAGGGATTGAAATATCCAAGCCATGACCACCAGAGTAACCAAGTAACGTCTTTGTTTAATAGTTCTACCATTTCTTCCCCAATTACTTTACCCTTCACTTTATCTAAATAGTTTCTTATTCTATCCTCATTAACACCTTCCTTTTTATATAAATCTTCAAAATACTTATGAGCAATTTCTTTTTTCTGTTTTATCTCCTGCTGTATATCCCCCTTTCCGTCTTTTAGCTGATATATCAATTTCTTTTCGTTCCTTTTTTCTAGTTTATAAGATAGCCATCTTCCTGGCTTATTAGCATGCTCAAAGTAAGTTTGTCTAGTCAAATTCAAATTTATAATCATTTTCTCTTCAATTAAATTCAATTTATGTTTAGCTATCATTATCTGATTTTGCAATTTTGAATCCTTTGGGGTATTCTGTAATTGAGATTCTAGTTCCTTAATTTTTTGTTGTAATTTATTTTGCTGGGCATATTTTTCCTTATTCCTCTTGGCATTATAAGAGATTGTTACACCTCTTATTACTGCCTTCATTGTATCCCAAATATTTTGTTTCGTAGTTTCTCCATTATCATTTTCCTTTAAGAAATAATTTAATTCCTCCTTGAGTTTGTTAGTATATTCTTTTTCTCTTATTAATTGAGTATTTAACGTCCATCTTTTCTTTGGTTTTTCCCTACCCTTCCATATTATCTGAATTGGATTATGATCTGCCCATTCATTAGCTAAAATTTTAATCTCTTTTATCTCATTTGCTATTTCCCCATTCATCCATGCCATGTCAATTCGTGTCCATATTTGATGGGGATTTGAGTAGAAGAATGTGAATTGTTTTTTCTCGGGGTGTAATCTTCATATATCCGTCAAATTTAGCTCCATCATTTCCCTACAGATCTTGGGAAGCTCTCTTCCCCCCCCCTTTATTCTTCCGCCCATTACTGTGGTCTTTTTGATAATCAGCAATAGAATTGAAGTCTCCTATGATACAAATATTTCTTTTTTCCAATCCTACTATTTTTTCATAAAGATGCTTAAAAAACTTAAAAGGATTAAAAGCTTAAAAGGATCCTGTTTGCTTCTTTTCAGGGGCTTTTAAGGTTGCTTTGATAAAGCTATCATTAGCTTCATACAGGTGGTCTTCGACTTACGACCACAATGGAGCCCAAAATGTTCATTGCTAAGCAAGACAGTGGTTGTGACTTACGCCCCATTTTATGAGCTTTTTCTGCCACAATAGTTAAGTGAATCTCTCACACAAATCTGTTTGCCAGAAGGATTTACCCTTTCACTCATTTTCCTAAATGACCCAGGAGATCACTGTTTGGAGAAGTGTCCAAAATAGCATTCATACAGGTAGTCTTCAACTTCTGACCACAACTGAGCCCAAAACCACTAAGCAAGACAGTGGTTGTGAGTTTTGCCCCATTTTAGGAGCTTTTTGGCCGCAGTTGTTAAATGAATCATGCGGTTGTTAAGTGAATCTTTCAAACAAATCTGCTTGCAAGAAGGATTTGCCTTTTTACTCATTTTCCTTAATGACCCAGGAGATCACTGTGTGGAGAACAATGTCCAAAATAGCATTTTAGCTCAAGCCAAAGGAGCGTTTACATCCAAAGCTTCTGCTTGACAAACCCACATGGAGAGAGTTGAACAGGCTTCAGCAGCAATCTTTGGCCTGATCATCATCCTGTAGCTGTTTCTTAAAAGGGGCCTCAATTTTTGCAATCTCCCCCAGCCCCTCCCTGTATTCCTCTTTGGCCTATTCTTCTCTCTCAGGTAAACGCTGGAGGGAGGAGGGGAGGGAAGAAAGGCAGGAGTTGGTGGAGAACAGACTGGGTGGTGGTGGAGAAGTAAGAAGAAAAACAGAGACTTTCAAAAGAGGAGGAAAAAAAGAAGCTTTCTCCCTCTGCCCCTCCGACCCCCCATTCTACAGGTCCACTTTTTGACAAGAAGAAGGGACAGCTGTGACAAGGTCTCTTATTACCGTACCGTGAATTCCTGCCCAGAGCTCCAGCCCCACTCAGGAGTAACAGAAAACGGGGGCATTTTTAAGGATCAACCACTGAGTGACTGGAGTGCCAGCTGCCTGCCTTCCACTGCATTCCCACCGCCTCAGAAAGGCAGGGAGACTTTGAGCTCTTAGCCAGGGAGGAAAGTTTTTCTGTTTCTGGCCGCTTGTCTTCGCTGGGGAAGAAAGACTAGCAAGGCAAGGAAAACAGCTTCGCCAGAGACTCAAGCAAAAAACTGGTGCTTCTGCCACGCAGTCCAGCAGTGGAGTGGCCTCTCCTTGGATACACAACCTCCTGAACTCTGAAGCTCTTGAAAAGGCAAGTGGGCAATGAGTGATGGGAGCAATCGGTGGATGCAGGGGGTGGGCTCAGAGATGGCCCAGAACACGGGGAGAGAAACATGGGGCATCTCAGTGAGTGAGGGAAGAAGGCTGGAGCACTTGTCCAAGCATCCATATTCCTCTTCAGCCTCTTCTTCCCCCAGCGAAATACTGTGGACATACTATATTTAGATTTCAGCAAGGCATTTGACAAAGTAGACCACAATGACCGCTCCCTTGTTCCTGGCAGGAGCTAGAGTGCGGGATTCTTTCATCTCTTTCATGATAGAGAGGACAAAGCAACAAGAAGCCACATTCTCCCATCTTCTTGGCTAGAATGCTGGACTTGTTGGAATTGATTATATTTAAAGCAGGGGTGGGATTCAAATTTCTTAACAACCGGTTCTGTGGGCGTGGCCTAATTTGTGGGTGTGGCTTGGTGGTCATGTGACTGGGGTGGGAGTGGCTTGCTGACTGGGCATGGCTACATAGTCATGTGACTGGGGTGGGCGTGGCCATGTGGCTGGACACCCAAATTTAAGTGGTCCTCGCTTAATGACCAGGTCATCGCGTAGTGGCCAATTGCTTAGCAAATGCTTTTTGCCAGTTTCCAAGGCCCGGGCAGGTGGCCATGTGGCTGGACACCCAAATTTAAGTGGTCCTCACTTAATGACCAGGTCCTTGCTTAGTGGCCAATTGCTTGGCAAGTGCTTTTTGTCAGTTTCCAAGGCCTGGGGAACCCTGGAGAGGGCAAGGCGAGGCGCGGGCAGCTACGGGGAGGGCTGCAGAGGGCTGGGCGAGGCCAACTCAACATCACTTCTTTGCCCTAATGATTAAGTATTAAAAAAGATATACCAAAACAAAAGGTAGTTTATTATGTCTTTAATGGTTAAATAATAAAAAGGCACACAAAATTATATTGTTACAACATTTTAAAATATTAATCAAAACTATTACATAACAAAACTTTACAAAAAACAATAAAACTTATTTAAAGTACTCCCAAATTGCTTTTCTATTATCGTCCCAAGTTACAGTTTTCTTGTGTATAACACGAGCATCATCAGCTGTGTGATGATGTGCTGGCTCTGCTTTCTTCGATGGATGATGTGCTGGCTCTGCTTTCCTCAGACTCCAATGGTTGTGGTTGTGACTTTTTTGGATCTCCTTTTGTTTTCTTGCTGAAGAAAGCAGACAAACTCATTTGCCTTTTCATCTCGCAATATGCTGCAAAAAAAATAAACAATGTAGTGGTTTGGATTCGATTGTTGTTGTAAGTTGAGTGGTGAAGGCAGTGGCAAGTGAAGAAAGCAGGCAAGGAATTGAGATCAGTAATATTCAGTTACTTTTAAGAGTCCCTGACACTATAGCTAGTTAGTGTTTAAAAGATGTTATGGAAGAGGAACAAGTTTCACTAGACAAGAATGAGACGGAACTGAAAGTGGATTTGAAAATGACAGTCTATAAAAAAGATGTTGCACTGTGTATATAAAAGAATGGCTGATATTTTCATAATTACAATTCATTAA